TGTGTGGGTATGCCACAAATAAGTAATTTATTGTCAAAATTTTAAACAACACCAAAATATGTTAAGCTTGCATTCACACAGTCCCAGACCAGTTTGACAAGTAACCACTGTTAATAGTTTGATTTCTATTTTTTCAGATAGATCTTTTTCAATAGATTATAAGTATACTACTCAACATACATATATGAACACAAACACCTACACACTCATTCTCAGAGTTTGTGCATCTTTTGTTTTTAAATGTAAGTTGGATTATTCCATACAAGTTGCTCTACAATTTACACCTTTTTTTTTTTTTAACAAAACAGCATATCTTTCCATGTGATTATGTATCGATCTGCTTCATTATTTTATTAGCTGTATAATATTGCATTGTGTGGGTGTAGCATAATCTAAGTACCACTGATGGCATTTACATTATTTCCCTTTTTTTTTTTTTTACCATCACAAAGAATATGGTGATGTACCCCCTTATACAAATATACGTCTTTGTATGCTTGTTTCAGTAGGCTGTGTGCACTAAAACTTTTTATATTTGTTGCCAAATTGCCCTCCAAAAAAATCTGTAACAGTTTATAATATTCCCAGCATTTTACATGCTTCTTCCAGGTTCAGAGCTCTACAGGTCATTGCTTATATACTCTCTAAGACCCTTTGATATCTTTCCTCTGTTCATTTTTTTCAGGTGTGATAATTATGTCTTTTTTTTTTTAAGTCTTTATCTTTCTGAGATACATATTAAAATATTTACATGTGCATTGAGTTAGGGAAAAAAAGAGATTAGAGCTTTTAAAAAATTTTTTAAATCCCAGAATAGGTTTTTCTGGAAAATGAAGGGAAAAGACAGCAGAAACAAGAAGTGTAGAAACAGATGCACTTAATGGAGAACAGATATCCTTACTTGACTGAGGGATAACCACAGCTGGTTACCTGCACCTCCCATGCAGTGTTAGAGGTTCGAGCTGGCTCTGAGTGTGATGACCTCAGTCCCTTCCAGAATCTGCTTCTCTTAGAGGTCAGCTTTCAGATTTCTCCTTTAGATCTGGGCTTTACTGCTTGGACCTTTGGAACCACTCTACTCCTCCTCCATGAACACCCTCTTCTTCCCACTCCTGGTTGAGGAGGTATCAGAACCTCTGGCCTAAGGATTCCTTTTGAATGCATCACCTCCTTGTCAACTTCTCCAGGTCTCTGAAGCTTGACTTCTAGAATTGATTTTCTTAGAAATGTGCTTTGAAGTTTCTCCTTTTGGCAAAGTTTGGCTTTTTCATCTCTGGTTCTAGGCTGGTGTCTGGGCCTAGTCTCTGTATAATACTACCCCCTCTCAACAGCCAGCAGAAGCCTCAGGCCTCTTCCTGCCCTAAGCCCTACCTCACTGTGAGACCACTCACCGAGTTCCTGTTCTTTGATGCCTATAGTTCCAGCTTGCATAGCACTTGCAGAATTGTAATAGGAGTGACTACTTTTTGTGGATTTGCTAAGCATCAGACTCAATCCTAAGTGCTTTATATTAAAACATATGTATCTTTATGTCATCGTTCTACTGTCATCAGACAACCCTAAAAGGTTATCCTCAAATTACCTGAGGAGGAATCTGAGGCTCAGAGAGGTTAAGTAATTTGCCAAAGGTCCTACAGCTAGTTAAATATCAGGACTGAGAGTCAAGCCTGAGTCTCTGACCCCACATCTTTAACTCTTATGCACTCAGAGGTAACTGAGACATTGTTTACCAGGCAGATAGGGCTTTCCCTGACTTTGTTCTCCAGCTTCTCTTTGACGACTTTCTCCCTTCTTGCTCAGTTATCAGTGTGGGCAAGGTAATTCAGTTTTCAGTTACTCATATTCCCTCAGAGAGTAGTTTTCCAAAAAGAAAGAAACAGGTATTGAGTACTTACTGGGCACTGAGTTGCTTTCGCATCCCTTTCATCACTCTCCTTTCCATTGCTCTTAGAACAACGCCCTATTCTTTGACCAGGGCTTTAGAAAGCCCTGTGTGCTGGTGTTTGCCTATGTCCATGGTCTTGTCTGTAACTACTCTCCTCCCTGCACACTGCTCCCAACTATCCTGGCCTCCGTGCTCCTACTGGAATACATCAGTCACCCTCCACCTGATAACACTGTACTTGGTTTTCTTGCAGCTTAAAATGGGCTTCCACAGTATTTGTCTGGCTAGCTCCTTCTCGGATTTGAAGTCTTACCTTAGAACAGCTGTCTGTAATAATTCTTCCTGAAGTTTACCCTTTTTCTCCCCTTCACTCTCATTCAGATCCCTTTATTTCTTTTTTTTTTTTTTTTCAGAGCACTTTCCACCATGGTAAATTATCATCTTTATTTACTTACTTTGTTAGTTACTGTCAGTCTTGTTTATTTGGTAAGTGTTTTGAGGATAGGCAGAAATTTTACTGAACTTATTGTCTACTGTATCGCTGTGGCTTATGATGGTGGCTGGCATAGAGTAGTCCTTCAGTAAATGTTTATTGACTACAAGAATGGATGGAATGGATCGCTACCAGTCTCTGCCAACAGGAGAGGAGTAGTTCCTTGACAAAAGGGGCCTAAGACATTGCTCCAGAGAGGGTGCCTGTGTGGGGGAAGATGAGAATTTGGGGAATAGGACCCTGACCTCTCTCCCTTGCTTTGCAGGCCAGAGGCACCCAATGAGTTCTATGATGGAGACCATGACAATGACAAGGAAAGCGACGTGGAGATTTAAGAGCAGCTGGGCTTGCTCTATCCCAAGGAATTCCTTTTTACCTCTTGTTTGGGCAGGAGGGAAAAGATGTGGCGCCCACAGCCCTGGACGGTCACTTTCAGGGCTTTACCAGTGCTGGAGGAGGGTTTGGAGACCACACCTGGTTTTTGAACCAACTATCCCCTTTACTGTATTTCCCAAGGCCTGACAATGGTACTTATTAGGGATTGGATGGGGACAAGGATAACTTCCCCTAGGACATCTTGGGCAATGGGCCCTAGATGCTGTTCCCAGCTACTTTGGCCCCCTTATTCCTTTCCTGCTTCCCTCCAACCCAGAGACTTACAGGGATGAAGATGTTAGACGGGAGTAAAGTTGCCTCTGACTTTCTCCTTTCTTGGTTTCCCCTACAGCTAGCCTTGTTTTCAGTGCAGGTGAAGAGTGAGGGATTTTAGGGGTTTCTGGCTCTCTAACATCTTAACCCCAGATGATGGGAAATATGGTTTTGAGTCCGGGGAGGATGTAAAAATGTCTCTTTCTAACTTTTGGCTTTATGTCCATTTTACCACTGTTTTTATCCAATAAACCAAGTTGGTATTTTTTGTACTTTTTGCCTTCCTGGGAATATTCTTAATTCTTGCTAGCTGCCTATGTATGAAAGGAGAAGAAATGGGGGTCATGATGTATATAATAAAAATCATAGTTAACATTCATTCAACACTTATCTTAGGCCCTGTGTATGAATTCTACGTGGATTATGTTACTCATATATAGGGAGTTCTTAAAGCATTCTGGTTAAGAGTTAGACAAACCTGAGCAATTACTAGCTTAAGAGAGGGAGTAGAAGATGACTTGATGTTTTGGAACCTGTATGTTTGGAATGGTAATGATAGTTGGTGAAGATACACTGAGATAAAATGTCAAGTGCTTAGCATGGTGCCTGACAAGTGGTTGCTCATTATCTTAACTGTCTTGGTGAAGAATGATGCTAGATACTGTAGTAGCCACAAATGTGGACCCTTCCCTGACGTTCATAATCCAATAAAGAGTGAGGTAAATGGTATAGCAGATGTAGACAGCGGTATGAGAAAGAAGAGTGATAGATGGATCATTCCTTCCATGCTTTGATCCTGTGTCGGTGCTCTAGCTTAGAAAATAATATCCCATGCCCTAAACTGAGCACTGGGGTCTCAGAGTTCCCTCCAGGAACATATATTTGAAATCTTTTGTCAGCTGTGGGTGAGATAATTCCATCCATATTTTGAGGGCCTACTGGGGGCCACATATTTTTCACAGAAGGAACAGATATAGCTGGGAGAATGGATGAGATTACTGAGGGAGAAATGAAGCTGGATGAGCAAAGAACACACTCTTCGAGAACACCTGCTCTTTTCACTCAGGTTTGGTTTTTGTCAGTAGGATATCCTGGTCAAACATAGGACTTCCCAGACTAATCTGGATTAAAAAAAAATTTTTTTTATCACTTATGTGCCCTCGAGCAAGTCACTTTAACTCTCAGAAGTCCCAAATTTTCTATCTGTAAAATGGTGAGACTAATGGAGTCTGTCACATGGCAATGCCAGGATTCAGTGAGGAACAACACGGAGAGTTTTGCATAGTGTCTGGTTTAGAGCAAGTGCATGGTAAATGGTAACTATTATTCCTAAGTAGTCACCTGTTGGCAATAACTAGTTTTTCAGAATAAAAAACACCACTGGGAAATAGACCTGCGATTCAAAACTAGGTGATCTAACTCCAGTCTAGCACTTGCTCTGGACCACTCTCTGTTCCAGGCACATAGCTTTCAATAAATAACTGCCGCTTTCAAATTTTTTCATGTGCTCCACTGATGTTGCACACATAAAAAACTGTATTATCCTTGAAATACCCGCACTGGATTTTCGGCCAAAATGACATCTCTTATTTGATTTTTTGTTTAGATAAGATCCTGGTCTAGGGTGTGAGAGGGTATAGGCTTTACAGCCACGTGGGCAGTGTGGGAGCGGGGAGGCCTGCGCCGCTCCGACCGCCAGGTGGCGCTATTCCCTGTCGAGGCCGCAGAGTTGCACCGCCCACTTACCACCATTCCCGCCCCCCACCCCCCCACGTGAGTCCGAATGGTTAGGTCCGCCAGGCAGGTAGTTTGCTTCCGCGCCTTCCCTCCACCCTCTCACTTCCCCCATTGGTAGGAGCTGCTGGTCCGGGCGGAAGTGGGGCAGGCGGGCGGGAGCGAGGCGTCGCCGTTGTATATTCATGAGGCGCGCGCAGCCCGGCATACTAATGAGGCGGGGCGCGGCGGCGGGCTGAGGAGGGAGCTGTTGGGCGGCGGCGGCCGGTCGGGAGCTGCCCGGCGGGAGCTGCCCGGCGGGAGCGGCGTAGGCGCGGGGTCATCTGCCAGCGCGAACCTGGACATGGAGCCGCTCGGCGGGGGCCAGGGTCCCGGCCGCGGGACCCGGGACAAAAAGAAGGGCCGGAGCCCGGACGAACTGCCTGCGGCGGGCGGCGACGGCGGCAAATCCAAGAAATTTGTGAGTGTCCCTCCCACCCGGTTCCTTCAGCCTAGCCCGGTAACCGTCCTCCGGTTCCCGGTGACCCCCGCAGCCGACCCCAGGGCTGTACGCCCGTCTCTAGGGAGCCGCCCCCGCGCCTCTCTTCCTCCGTTTACTCGGTCCTGGGCTCCACAGCCGGACATCCTACCCCTCCGGGACCTCGGGAATCCCCAGAGTCCCACCCGGCTCTTGCCCCGGCAGCCTCGGGGCTTCCTTCACCCCTTCAGCCCGTACGCTCTGCCCTTCGCCCCCATAGCCCGGCGGGTCTTAGCCCCATCTCTTCCTTCTCAGCCCCACTTCCTTTCTTCTTCCTCTGTTACCCGCACACGCCTTCTCTGTCTTGTCCTCTGTGTTTTTCTGGGTCCATTATTTATTACCCTTCCACAACCCCTCCCCCCCCCTTTTTTTTTTTGTATCCTCTTATTTGCTTCTCTTAAAGGTCACTTCCTTCTCAAGATTGATCCCTTTCACCTGCTAACTTTCCTCCCTCCTCGCCCCGGCTCTGGGCCCTCAGCCCAGTGTCACCTGATAATCCTTCCCCTCTGGAATGTTACCTGACTTGGCTTCTACCTTCCCTGGACGTTTGTCCTTGTGATTGCAGGAATGGGTTCCTGCCCAGGTCCTATGGTCATTGGGCATGACGTTAATTTGTTTCCCAGTATTTCTCCATCCCGAGAACCTGCCTCTTTGCCCTGTTGCTTATCACTTTTCAGAGGGTTAGAACTTCTCTCATGATGATGCCTTTCTTGATTTAGGATGGTGATAAACCTTCCTCATAGGGAGGAAGTTAGGCTCCAAGTCCAAGAAGTTTGAGTAATTGAATCGCTTTTTATGTTTCCCATGAAAACCATCTCAATTCTTCTGCCACCTCCTGTGTGACAGGCTAGTGACATCCCTTTTCCTACCTGTACAAGAAAGAGTATAGCTGTCCCCAGGTGTCAGTGACTTCCAATCTGAGTTAGAAAGAATACTGATATTCATGTAACACTATCATATTTCATTACCTTTGCCCACATTAAATCTTGTTTACTCCTCTCTCCAGGGAGCTATTTGTTTGCTTTTTACTGTAAAAGCTTTGAAAGATATGGGACACTGTCCAAGAGAGGGAAATAGTCTTGGATCTTAATAATCGTTTGCTAGTTGTAATTGTAGTTATTAGTCTTTTCTTCCAGGTGATTATGCCTCCACCACGGTATCTCTTTCTAGTAACCAAATGGATTCTGACTCTTTGCTCCTTTATCCCCAACCTTTAGTATTCTGATCCAAACCCACAAATTTGGGAAGAAAACTGATAAAATGATGGAAACAGGAAGAAAATGTTGCTTTGGGACCTAGAGGATTGAGATGTGGAGAGTTCTAAGCAGAATTAAAATAGTGACTCATCTCTTCCTACCTATTTCTAGCAAGGCAGGTGCTTCTGGACTGTCCTTTCCAGTGACTTATGGGCTGTCAGTAACTGCCTTCTTTTTTTTTTTTTTTTTTAATTTATTTTTTTAATCTGGTGAACATCTGTTTTTCCAGAAATGTAGAATTAATGGTAGTGAGGACCCTCCCCCTCGTGATTAAAGAAACATTTCCTTATGTTTGTTTAGGATAGTAACTGACACTCTAGTTAGAGAGCTTTCCTTCTAAGAATTAAATTCTGGGGCTTATAATCCTTTTTTATTATAAACATACATATATCTGTTATTGTTGTTTTGCTCTTGTTTCCATGGGTACTGTTTGACCTTCCTCACCCACATTCTAGCTATTCCTGCTGATGTATTGAACTCTGTGGCTTGTAATGTTTTTCAGGTCCTTAAATAGAATTTTGTTTGTGCTTTTGTTTTACCTAATACCTGCGTGTTTCACAAGTGAAGGGAATTGAAGTTGAGATACCTGAGGAAACTTAACTTTTTTTCACCTGTGTTTTGGAATGTCCATGGACTCTTGTGTATGCTGGGTGGATTTGGCTCAGAGTTTTTGGTATTTGCTTTACAGAGGGTGGAGCCGAACCAAGTTCTCTTTTTCTTTCTGAGGTGTTGGTGTTAACTCTTAACCGGCTGAAATGTTTAAAAAAAAGAGAGAGAGAGAGAAAAAAAAATTGTGTAGCACTGGTAGTGAGTAGAATTGCATTCAGAGCTAGGGGATTGGAAAGTTTCCAGAAAAGTAGTGCTACTTAACCCCTTTCTTGCCAACTGTAACTTACCTCAAGGCATCAGAATATTCTCTCATTGTTCTTTTTATGAGAACTCTGTGACAGTGAGAGACCAGGAGGGGCATTGCAATCCACTTGTCTTTGTGTCTGTGTGTATATGTGGGTGCGTGGAGGGGGAAAAATTGCTGGTGTGCTTTTGTTACCCATGGCTTAGTTTTTTGAACTACAAGCTAAAAGAACTGTTTTCCCTGCTCCACCTTTGCTAGAGTGTGTGTTCTCTGGAATTCCATTAAGAATGTACTTTATAAGTCTCCCTTTCTCTCTGCCCCTCTCTCTGCTTGTGTGCTCTCTCTCTCCTTCAAAAATACATAAACATTAAAAAAATAATAATTTAAAAAAGGGCACCTGGTTGGCTCAGTCGGTTGGGCATCCAACTTCAGCTCAGATCCTGATCTCTGTCTGTGGGTTTGAGCCCCGTGTCAGGCTCTGTGCTGACAGCTCAGAGCCAGGAGCCTGCTTTGGATTCTGTGTCTCCCTTTCTCTCTGCCCCTCTTTCTGCTCATGCGCTCTCTCTCTCTCTCCTTCAAAAATAAACATTAAAAAAAAAAAAAAAAAAAGAATGTACTTTATAAAACTCCACTGGTTTGGACTTAGTGTGCCTGAAGGTTATTTGTTTGCATTTGAGGAGTTTCTCATCTCTTTAAGCTGCTGCATACCTTTCCAGGCTTATGCAGGTTCTAAGTACAGATCAAGTGAATGGAAGGCAGAGCTTACATATTGGCAAAGATACTTTTACCCTCTGAGACATCTTGGGTGGAAAGCAGATGGAGTTGAAGTTTAAAAAGTGGTTGGGAATCACCTTTTAAAAACATTGGGTTGTTAGAGATGCTGATAGTTGTGGCTGAAGCTGGGCTGCCTGGTATTTCCTGATTCTTCATGAATCTTTCTCCTCCTGGGCCATAAGCATATCCTTTCTCCAGCATTGTTGCAGTTCCTTGCAGAGGTCTTTAGGATGAAGGAAAATAAAAATTCAAAATGAACAGAATGTTTTCTGATTTTTCAGCAGTGATGAAGTTGGGTGTCAAATAAACTGCTGGCTGAAATATGTGTAAAGGTAGTAATTACAACCAGGGTGTTGGAGGCTGCAGAGTATTCCTGCATTTTATAAACACCATGTTTTATACAATCAAGAAGTTGATGCATTCTAAGAAGGAATATTACTTCCTGATTCAGCTAGAGGCATAAGTCTGTAAAACGTGAGTTTTAGCTTGGGATTAGAGAGAAGAGAAGATACATAATTTTTAAAATCTTGTTTAATATTAGATGTCAATGTATTGAATTTCACCAAGTGAGTTTCATGCCTTGTGAAAAACAAAGTGATAGTGAAAGTATAAATGTTTGGTTGTAGACCCCTGTCCGTCCGTCCATAAGGAGAGCAGTCAAAGGTAAAGGATGCCAGGCAGAATTTTAGGTAGTAGGGAAGATAGAGAATATGAAAGAAGTGGAGTTGTTTATGCAAATATCTGCTTCTATCTTATTAAGACATTAACTTTGATCCAGAAAGTTGCAGAAAACGGAGAGCTTTATACTAAAGTCATGTGATTTTTTTTTTTTTTTTTTTTAAAGATGATAAACAAAGGGATTACTTATTTTGGAAAGAGAGCCTACAGAAATGTTTGTGAGATGTTTGAGATGACAGAATGATACCTTAAAAATTGGTGCCCTTTTTCCTGCCTTGTTTTTAAAGAGGTAGCCCAAGGATCCACTTGATCATGTTACATTTACTTGTCTCAAAGGAAATCCTCCCTGACAAGAGGTCAGACCGAGGGAATCCCTCAGAATTAAAATCTCTGCCTTGAGAGAGTTGGTAAATGTTCGGATACTTTTATTTAAAAAAAAAAGCTGAAAATTTTATGACATGTAAATTATATTTATTATAAAACCTAAGAACATAGTTATAAGTGAGAAATGATTTAAGTTTGTTGATGCGCATATGGGTCAGAATAGACTAATTTTATTTCCTGTATGGTGGAATAACCTTTTGCTATCCCTTGGGGCTCTCCATTTTATAAATGGATTGCCAAGTTATTCTTGGAGAGTATTAACATTTTCAGTGAAATGTAATGGAGGTTTACAAGATAAGGTTATACCACATAAGATTTAGAAGAACAGGTTAAAATCATGTTTATTACCAAGAAATAGTAGTAATTGTAGAGAAAAGGTTTGTGTGTTCAGATAGTATGTTTTTCCCATTTTATGTCTCATTTGAAATCATTCATGACTACAAAAAGCATTCCTATTTGAAACAAGCTACGTGTTGTATTACTTAAGTGTTTTTCTTTATTTTGTTGCCCTTCCTCTTACTCACTTTTGTTTGAAAGCCTTAGGAAAGAATTTACCTCTTGCTAATGAGCAAAGCAGCCTTGAGTATTTGCCCCTAGTTAGGGTTAAGGAAGACAAAGGCAAGCCTCCTCTCCCCTTGCCCAGTTAATATCCTCCCCTCCTTCTTTGTTTTTATTCCCTATCTGCTTCTGTAGGGGCAGGGCCCAGTTCCCTGGGCAGCCAGGCTTTTGATGAATCAGGAGTGGTAAAAGCTGTTAATACTAAAATTTCATAAAGCTTCAAAGCTAAAATTGAAAAAGAAAGAATGTTTAGACACTGGGAACATTTTTTACTTCATTTTACACCTCTCTTTTTCCTTTCTCTCTTCTTTCTTTCTTTCTCCCTTCCTTCCTTCCCCCCACAACCCCCTCCAAACATTCTATTAGAACCAAGGAACCCTTTTTAATAAAGTCAAAGAATTACTGGAAAAGAGAAGTATTAGGACCAGTGTTTCAATGAA